TAACGAGTACTTTGGTTCATAGGGTATGGTTTCTCCATGTTGGAGATATGGAGACAAACACCTTTTGGTCCTAAAATGTGCTTAATGGGAAAAAACTAATCCTCTTGTTGGATGCCGTCACCAGGGAGTCCTTTTTGGCATGACCAGTGGAATTTTGCCGCACTCGTGGCCATGTTTGTCCATACTGCTGGGGCCACTGCAGGGGCAGGTCGGCCAGAAGGTCACATCTTGTGGACTTCGTGGTCGGGTTTTCGCATGGTTCCAGGTCGTATCAGATTTGAACGGCTGAAGCAGAACCGCTTCGTTTTGGGTCTCTATAGAACCGGTTCGTTCTCTTGACCTCGGGATGGCGTGGACTTGGACTCCGCTCCACCGTGCCACGGCGAAAGCGTTGGTTCGAGGTTGCTTCGGTTCGGTCCAATGGGGGTCGGATGGATCCAGGTACCAAATCTTATGCCTTCAAATGCTTCCACTGCGACTGGGCGTGCACGGCGCGCACGGGGCAAAAACGGATCGATGGCGAGACGGGCGGCGAGGCGGCTCGATCGAGCCTGGCCAGCTTCGATCGATCGATCCGGGGGAGGGCATCCTCAGTGGCAAGGCTTGGTTGCAGAGGGCCATCCACTTGGAAAGGGAGGGCCGGCCTATGCATTTTGAGGCTTTTGGTGATACCCATGCACACCCGTATAATGTCCTTTTCTGAAAAAATGGGACATCATGAGTCATGAGCCTACAATTTACAAAAGCAGGGGCAATTGTATCATTTTCCGAGGTTTATGCTTTGAGACTCCAGGTATACATGAACAGCGATGCCTTTGCGGAGAGTCCTAGGTCCTTAGGTGTTGTAAGTGCATGACGGATACTCTCCCTGGAATTGACATGGAAGTGTAAAATGTTCTCTTGGAAGACCATTTTCACCTATGGTGGTCCCCAAATAGATAGAAGTTCGTAGATCCCCACTGTAGAACACATGCATATATACTTGGGAAAAAGAACACGTGCCCGTGCCACGATCTATTCCGGGACCACCAAGCTTGGTAGTCCAAGGACTATAACAGTATTCCAAGGGACTGCTTGGAAGCTGCGAACAAACGAAGTCATTTCATGTTGTTCGTAGCTTCCCTCGGCATCCGCCGAGGCTTCGGAAGTTGGATGATATCAGCGTCCATGACATGGACGCGCAGCGGGAGGCGCCGTGACGTGCGTGTTGGGTTGGACGGTGCGTGCCGACACGTCATGTGGGTGCCTTTTTGCCAAGCAGGTTGGCAAGGGAACTGGTTTGCCCAATAGCCAAACACTGCCTTTCGCAAGAACCGTAAAACTATTTGAGTTTCCCGAGTCTTTGTTGCTCTCGAATGAGTCATGGAAGCTTATACATATATAGAAGCTTCTTCAACTTGATTCGCAAAGTCGCATGAAGTCGCAGCTTGCGTGGTGCCTTCCGATGTGTGCGATTTGGACCTTCAATCCGTTTGAGGAGGCCCAGGTGGTTCGCATCCCACATGGGCGGTTCATGGCACACCCGGTTGGGCGGTGACCTGGTCAACCGGGGTCTCCCAGTGCCATGAGCAATTGCTCCACTGCTTTGCCAGGACACGAAGCTGAGCCATGCCATCTTGAAACCAGGTGATGGTCTTACCTAGTGTGCATTGTTTTAGTCATATATTAGAAAAAAATGTTTTGTCAAATAATGACACTTTCTCAACTTCACAGATCCCAACATGCTTTTTTGGTATTTCACAACATTCCAGACATGTTGCATGAGAAACCGGATCCAAAGGGTTCCCAGCCACCAGGCTCAAAAGAAACACAAAAAAAACAAGAGCGGAAATACCCGTCCAAAAGGCGGAAATCGGCGGAACAAAGGGGAAAAACCCGGACAAAAATATGGCCCAAGTTTGTCAGGTTTGAAGGGTCAATTTGAAGTGGATCTGTGTCCACTGAAATGGGCCAGGAAGACACGATAGCACTTTTCACTCCCGATTACACTTTTGCTTGAAAGAGTACGTTTTTTGCTTCCAAATCAGCAGATTACAAAAAAAGCAAGGTTGGGTTTTCAAGGTATGGATATGTTTATGTTCAGGCTTTTCTTTTTGATGATTGAACCCACTGACTAATATATGCTATATGATATGATCCAATAACAAGCGGGTTGAAAGCACTACCCAGATATTTCACATTGAAAACAACGTGCCCGTCGAGCTTTCGTCCCTGGAGCTTTCTTCACCTCAGTTGAAGTTCAGAGTACTGGCGAGACTAGCTATCTGGTGTATGCTGGTGACGTCCCAGTTTTGTTGGCACTTGGAGGGTCCAGGCACTTGTTCTAAATCCCCCAAAAACTCGAATCCGCAAGGAAGATGCTCAAATCCAGAAGGAAGATGAGACGCAAATGGCAATCTGCTGGCAACTAGAGGTGGCAACAAAGTTCAGGGCCTGTGAGGATTAGATCGATAACTATCCAGAGCCTGAATGACCTTTATATTGGCTTGCCAACCACCCAACATATGGTATGCCTCTATCAAAAACAGTGGTCATTCATGGATTCAATCATGGCCTAACTTAGCTTTGGATGCTGTTTACACAGCTTCCTGCTTCATCCCTGCCTCCGTGCCCTTCCAACCAATCCGCTTCCTCCGTCCCACCTCCCCCGTTCCGAGGCCGCCCAGCGCGTGCAACTCAGCTTGCGCGCCATGGATGACCTCGCCTCGCGGCACGAGGGTGTCAAGGACCGACCCCCTGTGTCGCCGCTCATGTCGCGGTCGAGTCCAGTGGATGTTTGTTGCGCTGTTCTATATCTCTAAAGTTTAAGTCGGCCCTCTCCTTTTTGTACAGAGCTTCGTTGAACATATTGAACATCAAAACCAAACACATATGTTATATATAAAATTAGATACTAGGTGATGGTTGCGGATGTTTGAAAAGGTGGGAGTATACTCCGAAGCAGATCAACATGAATTCTGGGGGGTCCTAGGTACCCCCTGCTTAAGACATGGGCTATGCGGTCGGTGGAAGCGCTGGACCGACCGGCGACCAGAGACGAAGCGCTGAACATTCAAGAACCATCGATCATTTGACCCCCCAATATAGAACCTTTATCCCAGACACGACTAATGGGACTGCCATAGATGCCGATCAATTGACCCCTAAAAGAACCACCCCAATGTAGGTAAATATACCAGTCCCATGGAGTGTTTGGGTATAGTAATTTAGAAGTTCGTAGATCCCCCACGTAGAACATGTATTGGATATCGTGAAAACTATATGTGATCGCGATCTTTGCCTAGATGGTTTGACCCCCCGAAAACCACCCCAACTGATCCAAGCAAGCGCAGGCAGACAGAGGCAACATGCCAATCGCATGAAGTGTTTGGGTGAGAGAGCGAGAGACAGAGTAGACGACGGAGTCCAAGTACCTAAATTGGGTTGCTGATGTTGAACCTCCAGATTCTGCTTGGCCAGTCAGAGGGTGCTTCCAATGATCCAAAGACAACATGACCTGCTGATGAAAAACAGCGAGAAAAGTAGACGACTGTTCCTCACAGTGCTTGGATAGGGGAGATGTAAGCACCAACAAGTCCGACTAAAGTCTATTACCACCAGCTTCTTCAAAGTGACCTTTTGAAGGTTCCTAAGTGACCCTTAGGAGGCTTAAGTTAAGTGACCTCAAACCAGGTTATCAAAAGGTCACTTTGAAGAACCAGACACATAGGTTCTGGAATGGATTATACGGGAGATTAGGTTCTGGAATCTATTATTTATTACACAGAAGAAGGCCTGACAGAAGCTTGCACTAGGCCTGTCTATTGGCTACAGAGCCTTGCTTTTGGTTTGGGCTGCAATCACAACTCACAACAGTTGGAGATGAGACCCTTCTGGAGAATGTGGGTGTTTGTCCAGAGCGCGACAGGTGAAGGATGACTCAGCGGCAAGCAACAAGCAAATGCTGGCAGCCAGGGGCTTATGTTGGCCATAGATGTGGACTGCAAACGCCTGGGGTGAGCAGTGAAGTACACAGTGCAGCGCAAGTTTGGTGCCTGGGGATTCCCCCAATCTTTCTCCCCCAAGATCATCAAAGCGAGAGTCTCCAGCTAGGATTCCCATCCAGATCTCCAGGTATGGTCCCATCTACCAATTGATCGACTGATTTCAAGAGACCTGTTATGACATGTTCATCAAGAAGCATTGAAACAACATCCATGTGTTTGATTCCTCTCTTCGAAATCACCTAATACACAGGCTGCCGGTTCTCCAGCTCTACCACACCAGGTGGCACCACCTCCCGGCCTGGTGACTCCACAAAGGTCTTCCGGCCGGCCAACAAGATGACCGTTTTCAAGGAGATCTCGGAGTATTTTGTCGTGGCCCTCAGATCTGTCGCACATGGTCGTTGGTCAGATTTGTTGAGGTGGGGGTTTGGGCGATGTTGTGCAAGTCAGGGATGGACGATGGTTGGAGCGGACCGGAGTGGATGTGTGATTACTCGTCAATTGATCTCTGAAGAGGACTAGTGAAGAGGACTCATATTGTGATGGGCTGTGATAGGTTCCATATTCTTTTTATACGTCCCTGTGGATCCAAAGGATCAAAGCCTTCTTGAAGTACACAGAAGGACGAGCGGTCCCATGTGCGTGACCAGCAAGGAGGCCAGGTGTGAATCAAAGGAACATCTGCACGTCTGAATCTGAGCATTCAATTCTTGGATCTTCTTGGAGTGGCATATATACCCTCCTCTTTGCAATCCTGTTGGAGTGATATGATCGTTGTGTTTCCTGTGCACGGAAACCTATTTGTCACTTGGCGGGTTATGAAACACTAGAATTAAAGCATATGCAAACCCTCAGTCTCAGAAAGTCTGCTGTCTTTTCCCACCACAGGGTCAAATGCATGTTCTTTTCGCACGGCCAAAACGCCAGTTCTCAGCCCCGGACAAAAGTTCTCGCGTCACTGATGACAAGGCATGGAAAAGCGCACCTGCCTGATTACTCCAAAATTGAGGTGTTGATTCGCCCAGGATAGTCACGACGCGACGCGCACGCGACGACGTGCCGCGAAAGCCATGGCGATGCGAATCCCCGTGTGGCAGATGAATGGAGAGGTTTTGCACGTGGAAGTGATGCCCGAGATGCGCGTGGCGGAGACCCGACGTGACGGGACGCGGACAGAGCGGTTCAGGTCAGCCTACAGCACAGAGCGGATCGGTCCTGAAAGCGGTCGACCGTGTTTGTGTTCTTTTTCGGTGCTGAAACACGAAACCGAAATGATTCGTTGCTGTTGGATGTGTTTTCTGCCGTGTTCTTTTCAATACTCACTTAAAGTTCCGATGAAGGATATTGGCACCGTTCAATATTGTATGCTGTATATAGCCGCAGCCTAAAGGAGTTCAGTTCTGCTTCTCTCGGTGAAAGCCAACCACCAACGTTGTGGATGGTATCTTTTATGACTCCTTCTTTGGTAGAATCTCCAGCCTGTAAACGGCCATATAGCGTCCAACCCTTTAACTAAGGATTTGACACTAAAACTAGGTCAACCTTTAGGTCTTGAAAGACTATATAGGGGCTGGTCTGACCCCCTGTGTGTCGGTGTTTCTTTCGCTTGCTGCTCTTTCCGTCGTGGGACAAGGACTTGAAGCATCAACTGCGAGTCTTGCAGCCCAGTGCGGATCCCCGTTTTTCGGAGCGTCGTCCCTTTGGAGATCGAGTTGCTGGGAGGGTATGTTTGTGTTCATGTGAGCGACGGACAAAATTATTGGCTGACTTATTCAGTCACGGCATGACCCTAAACCTATGTTGAGGGCTTTGTTTCTGTGGAAAACGATATGGTCCCCACCAAAAACGATAATCTTGTTAAGATGTAGTGGGTACAAAGATGTTTGTGGTTACCAGATGCGATTGCATTTGCAAGTTTATTTGAGCATATTTGAGCTAAACCGATGGGCACCTCTTTTCATCAATGGTAATCCCAGACAACTTCCCAAACGATAATCCAAACGATAAGCGAACGATAACCTAAATGTCACGCCAGGCACTCCGTAGACCTACTTCTCCACATTACTAGTGTTGGTCCGAGCTACTAGGTCCCCGCTTATCTTGTGATCCTTGCACAGCTCGGTGCCACAAGAACCCGAGTGCATAAATCAAGTGCTGTGCCATTCCTGTGCAGAAAGCACTGTAAGCCTCTAATCTGAGGTTGTGAGTCATATTTTGTGTTTTAGCCTATGTGCTGGTATGCTATGCTAACTACGGTTTGGAGAAACATTGGAGAACGATATGGACCCCACCAAAAACGATAATCATGTCAAATGGTATTGCGCTACACAAGTAATTTTGTCCGCTGCTCATGTGTCCTTGGGACAGTTTCAGGCAGAAGCGTCAGTTCCTACGGCTTCTCTCAGCTAGCCTCACCTTGTTCTCACGATGTTTGCAATATGGGTTCGATTGGGATCGACCGACGGAATGACCCGAATTGGGGTCGAGTCATTCCCGTTGACTCACCAAGTCCCAGAGGTTCTACGTGGAGGTATTATGGTGCTACTGGGTCTTTGGATCTGTAGGGTTCTGTTTGGTCTTCGATTTTTTCCGGGGGGTGGGTTCAGCAGGGCGCAGCACCCTGAGCAGCCTCACTGAAAGGATACTTAGATCTTCCAACAACTATGCAAAAGGGCAGAAATGTTATCAAGATATGATCCATCTATATAATGGATCGATCCAGTATAATTTCATCCTTAAGAGGTACATCAGTCATTTACTGCGAAACCACGAATCATGTTTAACCCCGAATCTCAAGTAAATACGTAGACAGACTTCAATTCAACCGCTTCAAGTGCCACGTGTGACCTCTCCGCCTCTCCGCCTCCGCCTCCCCAGGTGCCGACAAGCTCCAGCGGCGCATTACGCGTGTCGAGGTGACTGTAAAACGACGGGTTTGGGTCGGAGCGGAGGGGAGAGGGGTGACTGGAGGAGGGCAGCGACATGCATTTGAAGCCAGTCAATCAATACCCACTCCATGTCTGTCATATATACCTACATTAACCCCTCAAACCACACACATATGTAGGTAAATATGTCATGCATGGAGTCTCTGGGATACACTATAAATATACATGTATATGGAAGATGTATGTCAATCATATATATTGAAGATGATGACTATAGTTTATACTTGTCATGGTAGCCGAAGATGACGAGCAGACGGAGCTTTTCTCCAAGAATCATGGAAGCTACACTAGGCTAGACCATACAAGATCTAGACATATCTAGACCATTCACTCGCAGTGGACGGTCTGCGTTGATATGCCGGACACACAGCTCCGAACGGATCCGCTGTACACATGCACACTCGCCAAAATCTACCAACCCACCACAGGGATGGACCACGTTTCCAATCGCCTGTCGGCTCCAATCCCAAACAGGAAGGCAGCAAAAGGAGCCCTGCTGTACTGATGTGAGGCGCAGCACCTACAATGCAACCATATACAAGATCTTACAAGGCTCTAGATCTTTGTCGAGGAACATAGTCTGTGGAGGAACTAGGTGCTTTTTTGTTCCACTTCCATAATTGCTGGAGGAGGTATATTTCGAGAGTAAAGGAATAGGGCAATATCTCTGATATTGATATGAACCGCCTCCCAGTAGTTTCTCTCAGCTGACACTTTTCAAGTTGTTTGGAGAGTGATGACACTCATTCAGATGAGTGTCTTCTCAGAACAATCCCATGGGTTCAGACACTCATCTGATTCGCTGTCCTTCTCATTCCAGGTGCTCTTGGACCACGAAAGACTGCAGGAAGACGAGCAAACCTTGGGCCATGCAGGGCTCTTGCCGGATTCCGCGGCTGAGATCGAACGGAGGATGGACAGCGCCGGGGACAGCCGAAGGCTGGGGCAACCTGGTAGGCTGCACCAAGCCCAAATCGACCAAGGTTAGCCTTACTAAGCTCTCTATAGTCTTACTCCAAGAACCCGTGAGTTGTGAGGAACCTATTTGGGGAAAAAAGTTCAATCAGAAACATCAAGAAGCATTTGTCTCCAGCAGCTTGCAAAGCCCCCCTTCAGCAGCCAAACAGAGCAAACACCATCAAAAGTAACCTAATCCCATCACCTTCCACACTGAAAGTATCACGAGCTCGGATCTCGACATCAACACACTGCCGGCCCTTAGTGCTGCTACTGCCTTTTGAGGTCGTCCATGTGCTCTTCACAATGAATGCTGTGGTGTGCAGCAGCCAGGAAGCTTCTGGAAAACAACCCTTGGAACTGCAAGTCGTGAGCATCCCAGAGACTTGGTATGATAGTTTCATGCAGTAAGCTGCAGGGAGGGTCCGCAGGGTGCAGGGGTGCAGCTGCGAGTCTTCTTCAGGCTGGCTGCGAGTCTTTTTCAAGCAGCTGGCAGCTGGTTCATCGGGCTCATTCCCTCATTTCCTACTATAAGATACAATATATAGCAAGCATCAGTTTGTTAGGTTGTACTTTTGGTGGAGGCTGATAGCTGAGCCATGGTATGCAATAGTTTTGGTGCCTGAAAAGGAGGATGCGGTGATGCTGAGTAGCTTCGTTTACATGAAGGATGAAGGATTTGCCGAGCGTAGAATCCTGCACAGGGTTCGCGCAGAACCATTGCTGGCTTAGGTTCTTTTTCAAGCCCGGGTAGAAGGCATCATAGACTCCAACCAAGTTGTCATCCATAAAATTTCATGAACTTAATTTTAGAATGAATATGAGATATCACAAAACCCGGTTTCGCTCATTGAGCTGCTAAGGAGTCGGCCACAGAGATTGAGGCTGCTGCCTTCCAAGATTGCAGCCTTCTTGAGCTGGTGTCGATGCTTGGAAGCGGTGAACATGTGGTGGTTTTCAACCAGTTTTGCCTCAGTTCTGCGCTATCATCACACTAAAACCGACAGGGAAATCACGTCAAAACACTGAACCTGATAGGCCCAACGGATCAGTGGATGAACACGTTGGGCGCATCGTTCGCTGATCACGTTGGATTCCTCAAAACTGTCTCGGGCAATTGCTTTGGCAGATCAGTTTTTGGAATCTACCGAGGGAGCGAACAACTGATGCTGTCGGCTTTGGTGCTTTGATCTGGCCAGTTTGATCCAGTGGAATCAATTATGTTTTTTGTGTTTCCGCCCGGGTTCGCATGGAGGCACCATGCAAAACAATTTTTGGCTGTCTCAACCTCCATTTTAGCTTTATGACCCATGTATTCCTAAGACCATGGACTACAGATCCAAAGACGACACCCGGCTCACCAAACGTGCTGAGAGAAAAGTTGGAGCTTGCGGCAGGATTCTCCCTCATCTTGGATTCGCTTTTCTTGCATCCATCCCAGGCCATTCTGCCATTCCCACCTTCCCCAACCCCAAAAAGCCACCCCAGAGACGTGGACCCCAACCAACGCCCGAAATCCAATCAGAACGCGTGGCGCTGAACGGAGCCGGGACGCTGAGGATTCCAAGTTCCGTGGCCAGGATCGGGGCTGAGGCTTTTGCCAATTGCAGCTCCATCACCCAGGCGCAGGATGTGTGAGACGCAAGGTCGACATGTTGGAGTGGATGGGGTTTTCGGGGATGAGAGCAGGTAGAAAGCATGGAACAGAAGGATGCTCGAATGCTTAAGATGGAACAGAATGGAACCAAGAACTTACCAGCGGACTCCGAGACATGAACGCTTCTGAAGCAATATATATCACCATGGCATCAGGATCAAAAGAAAAATATCAGGATCAATAAAAAAGGAACAGCATCAAAAAAGCAATAATCCTGACTAGGTCCCCTGGTCCTTGGGTCCCCGCAGGTCCTTTGAGTAGCATTTTTTTGATTTTTTTGTCTATGAAGGAGTTTATACAAAAGTAGAACTGCTCTTGATGCTGCATAGGCTGTTATGCTTGGGGGTGGAAGTTTGCGTAGGCAACCGCGTAGGAAAGCATAGCGGTGTCTCGCGTAGGCAGGCTTGCGTAGTTGTGAGTTGCAACTTGGAATGAGTCCAATAAAACCTTTAACAGATGATGGAAAGAACAAATGGACCATGGATGTTTCTTCAGTACCTGTACAACTGTAGACAGGAGGCAGGCAAACCCGCGAATGCTTTGCGTTTGCTTTCGTAGGTTTGGAAGGGTTTGGCCCATTGCCTTGTTTCAGGCTTAATCCATCTGAGCCGTTTAAGCAACCAAACAAACAGCATGTAGTCGTCGTTTTGGTTTCTGTTTGTATGAGTCGCGCCGTGAAGACATGGAACGACTTCACGCCCAAGTACCGCAAAGAGCTTCTCAGTATCTAAAGGTCCTAGAAACTTTGTACTACAAAGTGGCCAGTTCTGAGGCTCCCAGAAGCTGCTTCCCGCACTGCATTTGCACTACCAAGTGGCTAGTTGTGAGGCGACAGCTCCCAGAAGCTGCTTCCCGTATTACATTGGTACTTTCAAGTGGCCAGTTCTGAGGCCAGAGCTCCCACACATTTGTACTACCAAGAAGCTGCTTCCCGTACTACATTTGTACAATTTTGTACATCTTCCGAAGGTCAGCGTTCAATAAGGCCAAACTCGTCGTCTTCATTTTCGTCTTCTGCATTTGATCCATGAAGTCGTCGTGTAAAAGGCCTCGCGTAGTCGACCGCGTAGATGCCTCGACAAAGCCCTCAAGCTGGAATACACTCGCGTAGGCTACCTCACACACTTTTGACCCCTGGCGTAGGCGCTCGCGTGTACATGCTTCCCAGTGTATACTTCCATGCGCCCTAAGAAACACCACTCCTTTAAGTCCTTTGGTCCGCTGGTCCCCTGGTCCTTCGGTCTCCTGGTCCGCTGGTCTTATGGTCCTTCAGTCTTGGTAGCTCCCTAGTAGAGAGATAGCTTCCCAGTGGGGTGCTAGCTCGCTGGTAGGGTGTTACCCAGTAGGGGATAGCGCTGTTTGTACTTGCATTGCGGGGGGGCGCGCTGCGCCCTCCCCCGCACCCCCTCCCGCTAGTAACCCCTGCTATTGCCAGTACTTCCAACACCAGTCTTGCCACAGATACCACAACTACTATCTTCTTTGCGTTGACGCTGCCACAAAGGTGGATGATAAGGCCCACTTTCGCCTAGCGTAACAACCAGAAACCTTCGCTTAGTAGGAAGCGCTGTGCCCTACCCCTACTATTTCCCCTTTTACTAATAAGAACCATAATAACTACCACTACGACTACTCCTACTACTACCACTTCTACTACTACTACTTCTACTACTACTACAACTTCTACTATAAACTATTTTTGCTACTACCACTACCACTACCTCTACTACTGCTACTACTACTACTACTACCACTACTACTACCACCACTACTACTACTACTACTATTACTACTACTATTACTACTACTACTACTACTACTACTACTACTACTACTACTACTACTACTACTACTACTACTACTACTGTCCTTTCCCCATTCTTTTTTTCTTCGTCACCAGCATCTGAGAAAATATAAACAACGTGAATGGCACATGCTTCGATTTTGGACCATTTACAATGGGTTCAAACTAGATGGCACAATCCGCACAAAGTTTTTTTAATACGCATAAGGGTCCATACTGTACTCCATCCTTACATATCGTTACTGTACCTTCCGCATCCATTCTCCATTTTCCACCCGGCCCTTCCATCCATTCGCCTTATCTCGGTCGTGCTTCTTGCAGGTGAAGCTGCCCGAGTCCTTGGCGCACATCGGAGAGAGCGCCTTCGCCGGCTGCGCCTCCTTAAGATCGGTGGCCATTCCCAGTTGGGTTCCATGGCACGAATCGTTTCAGGGTCCGGTATTGGAGAACCGACGGTTTCGGGAGGCTTCTGGAGGCTTCTGGGGATGTTCCACCGGCGGTTTCTCCTGCCAAAAAGAGCAGAGTATAGCATGTCTACACGGAAGGTGTCCCAATGATGTAGCTTGCGGGTGAAGCAACATGTAAAGCAAATCAAAAAGGAATGACCCCAAACAGCATGCCATAGTATGCCTCTTGACTCGCCCAATGGCACTCCAACTTGCCAGGTGCAAAAACGATCGTTTTCCATCAACTGTGACCCAGCTTCGATCACCTCCAGACCCTTGACCCGAGGATTTGGGTCCGAATGGAGACTCAGACCACCGACAAATGTCAGGTGGCCATCGGGGAAGGCGCTTTCAAGTCGTGCAGCTCCTTGAAGCTTGGGAGAAGAAAACTCGTTTGGTCCAGAGGATTCCGGATTTTTTCTTTGGGATTTTTCTTCCAGATGTGATTGGGGTCGTTTTTTGAGGGTTGGTGTTGTTGTTTTTTTTTTTTTTAAATTGTGTATTTTGTGTTTGTTTCATTTCCTGCTCTTTTGTGGGATTTTGCCGCCGACCCCGTAACCACGAGACGGATCTTGTTGAGTGCTCGAAGTGGTTGGAGCGGTTGTTGGAGCCGGATGAAGCAGCGATGGTTCAAAGCGCCACAACGAGCTTGAAAGGTCGTGTTTCTTTTTGGTGAAATTGTTTGACACCCGATTTTGGGATGTGTTTAGGTTTCTCTATTGAATCTATAAATATTGGGAAACAGTATGCCTTGCGAATGGTCAGTATGGTCTATCACTGGCCATGTTGTTTGTGGTTTCGTTGTCTTTTGCATTTTAACACTCGATCCGATGCGTGTTGTTCTGGTTTCGGATCCTTTCTTGGGATGAAAAAGAAGGGCAATCCATGGCAATCCAATTATTCCGATAAATGAACGGAACATGAATTTCCATTCTCAGTGTGGATGCGACACTTGAATCGGCTGGGGACTGTGGTCAGTCAGCGAAGCTGCTCAAGTCTTAACGTACTTCATTGAATACTTGTAGTTCCAAAGAACACAACACCTGTTTTAGTTACAGACATGGCAGCGACATTGGTCACTGAAGCTTACAATATCAATCAACTTAATCACATAATACTGTTACGATTTATTGCAGCTTGTCAAGCACCAGCACTTTGCGTTTGGCGCATCAAGGCAGATCCTAGGCACATCATGGCACGTTGCGCCAAGCAAGGTCGTTCGGAAATATGGTGTTTCTGTACGAGTGCTACCAAAGATAGACGTTGCGTACGACCAGATCCACTGAAATCCAAACCGCCACCGTGGCTCAGGGCGTTCATGACCTGATGCCTGGAGAGCTGTTGAGTAAACCAAAGTAAAGAACCCTCCTCCCAATATCATGATTTCTTGAACCCTCCGTAAACCCTATATCTTGGAGCCCCAAGTACATCCAAGTTCCCCAAAAATCTTTGGTGTGTCCCATTCATTGCCTGTAATAGTAAGGGTCGATCAAAGACTATCACTATTCTTGAGAAAGGATAGCCATCATCATTCGCTGTTACAGGGAATGGGATATACTATGATATACTGATATACCCCTACCATCCCCTACCTATCTCCAGCTCTTTCTTTGTGTGTGGGTTTTAAGTCCCAACTGCGGCCCGGCAGCCGGCTTGATCCAAGATCGGCCATGATCCTAGCCAAGATTGGCCTAAAAAAGCCATGTAACATATGGAAACGGAATGGTTGTATACTTATACAATCTTATACAGTATCTTATACAGTATCATGAGGCTACCAATGGAGTACAATCTATCCCCCAAGGCCGACGGCCTACGAGTCCATTCCTTCGTGGTATTTCTGCCCGACGGCCCTTCGCTCGCTCCCCATCCCTCTCAGGAGTTCCTTGAGTCTCGACTCCGTTCTCACCCTGGACACTGAAGCCTTTTGTGGCTGCCGAAGCCTGAAAGAGGTGAATATCCCAGGGTCCCTCCAAGAGATCAGCCCCAGGTGAGGAGCCGTGCTGAAGAGCACGCTTGTGGCCGAAGCAGAAGTTTGAGAGGGACCAATTGGAGTTGAAGATATATATATATAATGGTATATGATATTTATTTATAGCCAGATTTTGTGTAGCTCGATGTTCCAAAAGACCAAAGACAATTCCAAACCCGCATGGGTGGTTAATCTACATCAAATTTGCTGTTGACCCCAGAAGTCCAAATGTCCTGTAGGCTATCAGCAGTCCACTTGGCCCTCACCCCTGGCAGCCCTGGCAGGGCTTTCAGTGGTTGCTCTGCCTTACTGAAGCTGAGCATACCCGACAGCATCCGAGAGATTGGGGAGAGCGCTTTTTTCGCCTGTAGCTCTTTGACGACCTTGAACATTCCAGAGTCTTGGTTGGACCAAAGGACATGGACGAAGTGATTGACCATCAACCTTCCACCGTTTTGGAAGTTCTAATTGTATGCTTATAGTTTTGGAACCGAGTAGGACACAAGCTCATTTTAAGTCCAGTTTGTTGATTGTTTGTTTAACGCATACACTCTTTTGATTTATGGTTGCTACCTGTGTTTTAATCAAGACCAAATGATCAAGCACGAACATATGTGTTGCTATGCTTGAACATGTTTTTGATGCTCGGGAATTAAATCCTGTGCATTTCTGGGTCTTGGTCGGTAGGGAGAACTGCCACGCAATTGGTGTAAACAGCAGTTTCTCTGAGATGTTTCAAGTTTCCTGGACGAACTGCACCCATCCGTGCTGTCTGTCTACCTCAGACCGTGCTGTCTAACCCAACCCATCCACCGGTTTTCACACTCAGGACTCGGTGCTCATCGATCGAAAGGCATTTCAACTCTGTAGCTCCCTGCGTTCCCTTCATCTGGGAGACCACGTGCAGATGGGGCCCTGCGTCTTTGCTGGATGCCACTCTTTGAAGAGTGACTGGGAGTATGAGTTAAGATCAACACGAAGGGGTCCTTTTTTCAAGATGTCGTCCCAATCCGTCCATGTTTTGTGGAATAATTATCTACATCGCCGTGGGCCGTTGATGACCCACGACTCGAGCAGGGTGACTATTCCATACATAGATGCTTTGGGTTTGGAAGAAGGTGACCCAAGTCAGAAGTGACTCAATTGCTTCTATTTCTCGGGACTTGGGGGGCTCTCAAAGACCCAGTTTTCCAACGCAGATGAAGACCAGGGTTTCGCTGCGACCTCTCTCCTTTTTTGTTACAGAAGAAGAGAAGAATGGACACAGTTTCCTTCGCTGGCTTCGCGAAGTGGTGCGTTTCACTCGCCAGGTTTAAGCCTGCCCAAGTATATGACTGTCATTCCGCAGAGTGCCTTCAGTGGTTGCTGCTCCTTGAGTGTCGTGAGGATCCCCGAAGGGGTTTTCCAGATTGAATCTGGTGCCTTCAGTGACTGCTTGGCGTTGACACACGTCCACCTGCCCTCATCGCTGATGTCCATTGGAGAGAACGCCTTCTGCGATTGTCACTCACTTTGCACCATGACCTTGCCGAGCTCTCTGAGTCATATGGGGAACTCTGCCTTCCTGAATTGCACTTCTTTGACCAGTGTGAGGACTTGGAATGTGTTCATGAACAACCGTCAAGCAAGCAGACGACGTCTGGGCAACGCATGCCCTGGAAGTCGAAGATTATTACGCAAAACGGTCTTTAGGTGACCAGCAAAGGATGATCCTTTACTTAGGTGGTGCCAAATATACAAAAACATGTAGTCTTTGAATGTCTTTGGATGTCTTTCTTTGGACTTCAGCTGAGCATGTGTAGAGGGATGTCGTTTTCACTGGTGCATCAGCTCAGTGGTGTTCTGGTGGCCTTTCGGTGAATCGACTCGTTTGGACAAACGAGTCGTCCGTTGGTTGGGAGTCTTGCAGGATCCCAGGCTCTTTGACTCAGATTTCCTCCGATGCCTTTCATGGCTGTTGCTCTTTAGCCAGCTTGGAGATCCCCAACAGCGTCACCACGATCCAAGAAGCCGCCTTTATGGGCTGCAGCTCTTTGACCACATTGAAGATCCCAGAGTCCGTGTCCTGTTCTATACGAACCTTTGGAAGACTGCGTTTTGCTTTTAAGTGGGGAAATCCCTGGGAATAAGCGATTAAACTTAACGGACTGATTGTAGCGAGAAAACGAAGCAGCAAGTTGTTGCATGAAATATGATGTTCAGCTTCAGAGTTACCCTTCATCTCGTATGTGAGAAACTCTCATCTCGCTTCAACCAACACCGTCCAAAAGCAGCTCAACAAAGATAACACCATATTATCCTGTTTGGATATAAACATATAGGCGCATAGAACATCACCCGGCGACCCCGTTTGTAGAAGAACATTATTATAGCATATTATAACATTATCTATCTAATACTAATACATACCAGGTGCATCGAAGGGGTGTCCACTGGGCACCCCTTAGACCCCAAACTCATTGGACACCCCTTAAGAATTGAAGCTTTGGGAAGGTATGGGACACCCTGCTAGGACCAAATGTCATGAAAACCAGGTGGTGCAAGCGCGTCGAAGCGTTTTCTGAGGGCGATCCGCTGTTGGCACAGCCTGTCACGGGGCTCGGCGGGCGAGAGAGGGATCAGGACAGGTCGCCACATCTCCATGAACACACCACCAAACTCGAACAATTCAAACATAGTTCACCACCAAACTCGAACAATTCCAACAGAGGTCACCACCAAGCTCGAACAATTGTTCACCACAAACATCCAACCACACATAAACAGGTCACCACACACATGCGCTAGTTCATGTTTCGATGTTCAATTTTTCCCTTCACCTTCACCTCGGAGCAATGGTGAAAAGAAAGAGTGCCTCACCAACACCAGTGAACATGTGCTTGATGATGGGTCGACCAGGGTTGATGGATTGACATGCTCTGAGGAAATTGGCCAGGGCATTCTACAAACGGGTGAGCCCTCAATACGTTCAGAAGAACGACGAGCTTCTTCCTGGTGGGGACATTCGGAAGACCGCGAACCAGTGGGTCAGAGCGGCTTTCATGGACACGGGGCTGAAGGTGGTCCCGCGTGAAACCCGCATCAGGGAGGCGGTGGCCAAGCTGGTTCACAAGAAGAGATTTGGTCTTCAACTTAGTGATCTTGTGGATTTAACATGCCCTCCAAACTTGGTTGGTGTTGATACTGGCTGGGTTCTTGGTCGAGTCACCAGGCTGACAGCTTGGATGTTGCCACGGATAAGGTATTGGCTCACTGCTGAATCCACTGCCCCAAAGGTTTCCACGTGGAAACGTACCAGAAAGGAATTCTTTACCCAAGCTCTTGTCAAGCGCTTTGGGGGCCACAGTTGGGTTTCTTTTGAGAAAGGCTTACGTTGCACCAAGTGCCCTACTGTCTTAAAACGCTACCGGTTGTTAACGGACTTGGAAGTTCTTAGTGACCTGCCTTGTACAGGTGCAGAGGCTGAAAATCAAGGGTGTGGACACCCTTTCTTGCGTAAAGTCCACTATACCCACACCATGCATGGTGAGCACCCTAATCTTCAGTGTTGCCATTGCCAGGGTAGGCTCTCGGGCTGTTGTAGGTCCATTAGTAGGAAATTATTGTATCCGTGCGGAGCCTCAGGAAGGACGAGGCGTCGGTGATCGCTTGCTAGCTATTTGTTAAAAAATGGTTGGTGTTGATCCCTCAGTAATTTTACTAAGACAATAAATTACTATAATGTTTAAAAATACTATACAAAAATTACTGTTAAAACAATAGTGATTTCATATAGTAAAAAATTTACTATATATAGTAATTTGGATTACTATTTAAAGTAATTTCTATAAAGTATGGTTTTTATGCAACACATGAGAAGTGTCGTTCTTTCTCTGACCAAAAGCTAGTGTCAAAATTGTATGTTTGGCACAGGGTTCTACTTGGCACAGTGTGGGACATTTTGTAAAGCAGTGTTGCATTTTACCTGAGTCTTGGCATTTTACCTGTGAGTTTCTGTTCCTTTCCTGATGCTTGGCAAGTTATAGTACTTGTGAGGTTGTGTTGCATTATGCCTGAGTCTTGGCATACTACCTGTGAGTTTTTGTTGCTTGCCCGAGATTTGGCAAGTTATACTTGTGAGGTTGTGTTGCATGACCTGAGTCTTGGCATGTTACTTGTGAGTTCTTGCTGCTTGCCTGAGGCTTGCCATGTTACTTGTGGGAATGTTCTTTGACAGCTGTGCGTTGCTAGTTTGGAGGCCTAAGCAAGGATAAACATAGGTGTGTGCTGCAGCATGTCAGCAGTCTTGAGTGCTTGGGGGTAGTTTCTTAGAAGTTCTTTCTTGTGCCATGTGACCTGTTCATTGTTGGGTGGGATTTGAGGGCTGTCACCATTTGACTTCTTAGGTGTTGCGTTGAAAGAATTTGAAATACTTGAGGTTTGATATACTTGTGAGTCAACTTGCGCTGTGAATACTTGATATTGCCTGGTTAGTTTGGACGCTTTTGTACTTTAAGCTGAAGTACTTGAGGTTTGATACACTTGTGAGTCAACTTGTGTTGTGAACACTTGAGATAGCTGATTACTTTGGACGCTTATGTACTCTGATAAGCTGAAATACTTGAGGTTTAAAGGTCTGCCTGGCTAATTTGGTCTTTTGTCTCGTGGAATTTGGTCTTTTTGGGTTCTGTGTGTTTACAGAATGACTGAGTCATTGGGTTCCAGTGATGCCATCAAAATTAATTGCCTTGACAAAAGATCCTCACCTGGCCATGTGTTGGTCCTTTGAGAATGCATCAATTGATTTATAGGGAGTTGGTTGGAATCTAGAAACCCTCACCTGACAGGCGTGATGGCAGTTGTACTGCCAGTACATTCGCTGTAACATTTTTGTGCATATTTTGGCTGCCATGTTTGGATGCAGCTTTGCGCCTCAGTTTTTGGAATCATGAGTTCCGGGGTTGCTTTTATTTGGAAGCCCGGGCAAATTTCAGAGAAATTTGAAAAACAGCTGATTTATGTTTAGAGACCGCTGTGTCGCTAAGATGTATGAGTTCTACTTTGCCCGAAAAGTGTGGAGCAGGTTTCCTTTCACACTGGATTTGGAAGCAAAAGCAACGGTTTATTTGTGCATGATATCTTTGAATATATGTGTGTATGCATGGTTCATATCCATGCGTGACATGTCTTTGGCACTGTAAGAGTGCCATACATGACATTTCAATGGCACTGCAAGAGTTGCCAAACATTTTACCCCACTGGCACTGCAAGAGTTGCCACGACATTCAACCGGCACTGCAAGAGTTGCCACCACACGCCGTTGACCTGGCACTGCAAGAGCTGCCATGAAATTCAGTTTCCAGTGCTAAAGTTCATTTTAAGAGATCATCAAAAACTAAAGCACTCTTCCAGCGCCTGTCTGATTTGCATCAATCAGCGCCTGACTTCTACACAAAAATGAAACTGCACCTGCTTTCAATGCATCATTGACAAAAGGACAGTCTTTGTCAACAGGTGCTCTTTCACCATCAAACAGAAAATGAGTAGCAGGCATGGCAAGCAGATTGAGCCTCGGTACACTACAAAGGAACTATCAGTGCACAAGTTTATACAAAGCACCGATTTGACTCAGACTCAGAGCCACATGGCGCTGCCAAACCAAAACCTTTTTCACTTTCTCAGCAGCCTTCTGGTCACAGCGATGATATTCACTCCTGAGGCCCCTTGGCTCTCTTGGCGCGCCGATCCAACTCAGTCTCCTGCTGCTCCGGCTGCTGTTGCTGGTGTGGCGCTGCAATACAAATTGCTTGCATTGCCACCATTTGAGCCCGGAGCAGGAGGATTTGGGCCTCATAGTTTTCTTTTTGAGATTGTAGCATTGCTTCAAAGTGCTCCCTTATCAGCATCTCTCTTTGGCCAGCCTCTCTTCTGATTTGAGAAGGGCCATGCTTGTGACGCCGGCCACCCTTTTGACCAGAATCAGACCAAGCAGGCAACTGAGGACCTGGATCTGCTGAGACGCTAGAGGTGGCACCTGCACATGGCTGACCCATCATCATTGGAGGGTTTTGACCCATGATCAAAGGGCTTTGACCCATCATCATCTGGGGTTGAGCCATCATTTGACAACCTTGACCCATCATCTGAGGGCCTCGAGCCATCATCTGAGGGGCTTGACCCATCATGTGCATTGTTCCTGGCATGAAGTTGCTCCCAGCTGGCATTGCCGGAAATGGTGCCCTTGTCGGCCCTGTGATAGGTTGTGTCATTGTCATGATGGGTGGCTGGAGCGGTTGGAGGCCAATTTGAGGACCTGGCATCTGGACCCCCGTTGGCATTGGCGCCGTCATCGTTGGCTCGTTCAGCATGGGACCAATGGAAGGTCCAGGCTCAGCACCTCCTGCCACCTTTTGTGGAAGTGGCTCTTTTTCAGGACCTGTCACTGTTCCCCCTGTGCTGGCTGAACGGCAAGGGGGTTTCTCCCCCTCAGCCTTAGGCTTTTCAGCCTTGGGCTTTTCAGCCTTAGGCTTTGGTGGTGGTGGCTTTGGCGTGTTGCCCGCCTTTGGTGGTGATTTTGGCTGGTTGACCTTCCCACCGCCGTAAGCTGTCAATGGTGGCCCTGACACTATCAGACTGCGGTGTGGCGAATCTGGTCTCGCTTTGCTCACCACTGTCATGACTTTGGGTTCTGGTGGTGAAGACTTTGCAGAGGCCCCCACTCGCACAGATGCCGGCAAATTCCTGGGTGTTGGTGGTAAGCTAGCCTTTTGTTTAGCGGGCTTCTCACTGGAAACTGGCAGAAGTGGCGGATCATTGGAGTCCAACATGGCTGCAATTGAAAGACCTGGGAAATTGAAACGGTTTGAGCCACCATGACAAAGACATTGAAATTATATAAGTCTCTTCATGGCTGCACGGTCATCAAACTCAACCTTGAGAATGGCTTCAACTTTAGCATTGGGCGTATGCCTGATCACAGCAAGAACTGACTGCAGTGGGCCCTACAAGCTACTATACAGCAACCAAGGTCGGCGCCATTGAATATCGGCAATGGGCTTTGAAGGCCAACCAACCTTACAAA